TTACTTCCTTATGCAAGTTCCTACCTTATTTGAGACTAGCGTGTTCTCAAAATCAGTGTCGACGAGTCAACTTCCTCAACTCTACATGACGCCGAATCTACTTGAGTAGTTACACACTCAATGGGGAGTGTTATAAACATCTTATTTAAGTGTGATTGTATAAATCCTAGATTATATTTGATTCTAATTATTCTTCCTTATTAGGACTTGTAGTACATGGAGGAGAAGGATTTCTTCCCTCCTTTATTACTATAAATAAAGACATTACGTAGGGGGAATAACACATCCTCTACACAACCCTTCAAACATACCTCTCTCTATTCTCTCTCTGTGCCGCCGATCCTCTCTCTTCCTGTCAAATAAAATAGACCACAACAATTGAGAGTATTTTTGTCATTTTAACTTTACGTAATAGTAATTTTTCACAAAATGACAAAAATAATTGATGATGTACAAATTCATGGACTACTTTTATTAACTTGCAAATCATTGGGCCTAAAATTTTTGTACATGACATCGAGTTCATATCGCATGTTAAAATTGTGTCAAGTTTGACACAAAACACACAATGGGCCATGCCAACACCAGAGCATGCCTTTATTCTAGGGCTGGGCACGGGCCGGGCCGGGCCCAATTTTGAAGGGACCGGACCGGACCTAAGTTCAAAGGAAACGGGGCGGGCCGGGCCGGGGATTACATTTTTCAATATAAGAACCGGACATTACCCGGCCCGGTTGAAACGGGCCGGTTCGGGCCGGGTCCACGGGTCTTTTTTTTTTTTTTTTTTTTTTTTTTTTTTTGGTTGTTTGAAAGAAAAAAAAAATTGTACATATTCACATATTGCAAACTGCACAGTTTGTAATCTGCACAAAACTGCACAGATTGCAAACTGCACAGATTTGCACAGATTGCAAACTGCACAGTTTGCAATCTGCACAGATTTGAACAGATTGCAAACTGCACAGATTGCAATCTGCACAGATTTGAACAGATTGCAAACTGCACAGATTGCAATCTGCACAGATTGCAAACTGCACAGATTGCAATCTGCACAGATTGCAATCTGCACAAAACTGCACAGATTGCAAACTGCACAGTTTGCAATCTGCACAGATTTGAACAGATTGCAAACTGCACAGTTTGCAATCTGCACAAAACTGCACAGATTGCAAACTGCACAGATTTGCACAGATTGCAACTGCATTTACGCATATTTTGCACAAATTCACCATTATTCACATCCAATCTAAATACAAAGTCCAACATCCAAGTTTATAAATTAACAATACATTCAAAATAATAATATTACATCTTTCAACATCTAAAAATTAAATCAACATACAAAATATCCGAAAATCCAAGTTCCAACACCCAAGTTCCAACAACAATCTTCATTGAATCTGTAAACAAAAATAGAATATAAACATGACATTTTTAACATCCAACATCATATTATCTATCCTCATTCAAATTGAATTATTGAAATTTAAAGTTTATTCATTTGAGTTTAAAATATTACCGCAATTCCTTTTCCTTTATTCGTTTGAGTTGTTTCAATTTCAGGAACACTTGATGAGATTGTTGAACTTGTAGATATAGTATTTGCTCTTTTTCTTTTATATTCTACAACAAAGAACAACCGTTAATTGTAAACCAATTAATATAAAGTTATAAACCAAACTATAAAAAACAAGATAATTACCTTCTTCACACTCTTGATAAAATTCAAGCTCCGCGGGACTTGCTTCATACTCAATGCTGCCAATTGGTTCACTTCTTATCCAATTTTGAAGGCACATCAATGACTCCACTGTTTGAGGAAGGAGACACGATCTACAAGGATCAATTACTCTCTTTCCTCCACTAAATGCACTCTCACTGGCAACTGTTGACACTTGAATTGGCAAGACATCTTTCGCTATCAAAGCAAGTGTAGGATATGTGGTCCTCCCTTTCAACTTCCACCATTTCAAAACATCAAATTGTGAACCATGTGGTACTTTCTCTACAGTGTCAAGGAGATACCTATCCACCTCATGTGCAAGCGCAATATCCTCGGTGTCTTCTAGTTCCTTTTCCCAATCATCCATGATTTGACTAAATATCATTGGATTTTCTGTTGGCACACTAGAAGATGATTGTTTTACCCTTGAAGAAGAAGTGTCAAGAACTAAATCTTCTCGACCCTTTTGTTGTGTTTGTGAATCGAAAGCTTGACTAGCATACTCATCACACATTGTCTTCAACAATGTCTTCACTTGATTACTTTTTTGTTCAATCTCTTCATCAAGAAGTTGTAATTGCTTTCTACACAAGTGCATGTAGTGCCTCAATTTGAACCTTGGGTCTAAGACAAGGGCAATTACAAATATTTGATTAAGGGACTCAATTGAACCAAAATACTTTCGATATTTGGCTCTCATGTTGAATGCCATATCACGTAGCACCAACTCTGCAGGTCCTCCAGTTTGCATATATTCAGGCAAAAAAAGTTTTTCTATCTCGTTTTCCACAGCAATGACATCATGAACAGCTGTGTTAGCTGTGGGATACTTAGTTGCACTAACTTTCAAAGTTACAAGATAGAAGACCTTTAAAAATTTCACAAACACTTCTGCACTATCCCAATCTTCCTCCTTAGGTGGTCCAATCCTCCCTTTACCCGCCACTTCTTCTCCTTCATCACTAAACACCTTTTCACTGAAATAGGTGGTGTATATATTGGCTTCATCATCTTCGATCATCCTTTCAAATGCTTTTTTAAACTTCAAGCAAGATTCTAGCATCATGTATGTGCTATTCCACCTAGTAGGCACATCCATAACAACTAGACCCCTACTATCCAACTTCTCATTCTCCACACATTTCTTGAAATAACTTAACCTTCGGGGACTTGATCTCACAAACCGCACGGCATTTCTAAGAGCATCCACACTTGTCTCTAATCTTTTCAACCCATGTTTCACTACCAAGTTGATAATATGAGCTAAGCACCTCACATGCATAAACTTGCCATTCATAATCACTTTACTATTAGGCCATTTCTGCATTTTACGAACAACATACTCAATTGCCACCTTATTAGCCGATGCATTGTCAACTGAAATGCACATTACCTTTTCAATCCCCCACTCAACCAAACATTGCTCAATCATCTTCCCTATTTCTTTGCCTTCATGACTTGAAATCAAACAAAAGTTTAGAATCCTTTTGTGCATATTCCAATCATCATCCACAAAATGAGCAGTTAGCACCATGTAGTTCAAATTTTGAACACTTGTCCATGTATCGGTAGTCAAGCTCACTCTATGATTGTGTATCTCCTTTTTTAACTGCTCTTTCATGCTATCATACATACTGAATAACTCCCTCACGATAGTTCTCCGAGATGGAACATGCAATCTAGGCTGGACTTTGCACATCATCCGCCTAAACCCTTCACTCTCCACAATACTAAAAGGTACCTCCTCCATCACAATAAACTCAATAATACCTTCCACACTTTCTTCTTGGCTCCACCCTTTAGCAACAAGCATGTTTTTGACATCCCCAGAAGGTCCAGAACTACCTAGAACCTTTTGCAACTCATCAGTTGGTTTATATGACTTGCAATGTTTATTGATATGTTTAATGTAAGTACTAGTCCCACCCCCACTAGTATCACATGCAAAAAGGGCGCTACAATGGTTACACTTAGCCTTCAATACTTGTACCTCCACCTTCTCTTTCTTTCCATCCTTTTCTACTTCTTGTATTTCCGAGACGGTACACTTAGTGACATGATCCCAAACCCAAGATCTCTCAGAAGAAGATCTCTCTAGTGAAGCTATTATAGTTGGTTGTTTTGTCTTTGGAATAGGTGGTGCTTTTCTTTTTCTGGAGGATGAGGGGTTTGGGGGAGGCATTGATGGTTTTGACTGTGTGGGTTGTGGAGGACATGGTGATGTAGCCGTAGATGATGCTACATTAGTACTACTAGGGGTACTTTGACTTTGAGATTGAGACATTATGTAAAAATCTGTAAAAATTAAATAATGGAACTATATTCATTAATCAAATAAAATAGCATAATCTCCATGTAAGCATAATCTACACATTATACATAATTTAAACCCAAAAAAGCATAATCTCCATGTAAATAAAATAGCAAATAATCTAGTAGACATAATTTAAAGTACATGCAGCAGCATGCATGCACTTGCAGTTTTTCTCATGTACTTCAAAATTCAAATCGTGTGCAGGCCAGTAACATGCAGCAGTAAGCAAGAACTCACCAAACCAAGAAATAAAAAATAACCATCCAATGCAGCAGTAACATGCTGCAGTAATGTGTGTGTGAGATGTATATGTAACCATCCAATAAAAATAACATGCAGCAGTAACATGCAGCAGTAATGTGTGTGTGAGATGTATATGTAAGCAAACAAAATATAACCATCCAAACAAAAAATAACCATCCAAAACAAAAAATAACCATCCAAAGTTCCAAACCAAGAACTCACCAGTAAGCAAGCAGGATATGATTCAAAATCTTCCAATTTCCAAACTTTCTCAGTAATAAGTGGCTCCGGAATCTGAAACCAATTCCCAAACAATCAAGAAAATGCATATAATATTCTTGGAAATGCAGCAATGCAAGTAAATGCAATCAGAATTCAGATTTCAAAATTCAAATCGTGTGTAGGGCAGTAACATGCAGCTGCTAAAGAAACTGTTTTCTGCAATATTGGCCAAGTACTTATTGTGTGTGTCACTGTGTGTGTGTGTGTGAGATGTATATGTATATGTATTATATTATATATATATATATATATATATATATATATATATGCAGGCAGAAGGCCTCGGTTCTCATTCTTGCATTGCATACAGGTCCTAACTTCTAATCCCATTAATTTATATTTCCTTGAAGACTTGTTAACGTAGAAGATAAATTTTATCAAAGCCATATAAACTATCACTTTAGAATAAAACTTATACTAAAATATGAGATACAAAAGAGTAAATGTCAAAGGAGATACCTGAAATTGTCAATTAGAATAATTACTTCAAAGGCCAGTAAGGGTAGAAAGACAACCTTCAAGTTGACAGCTGCAAAACCATGAACTGCAAAGATATAACTAATCAGGGTCTTGCACTAGGACTCATTCTATTATGCAAAGATGAAATCCTTCTAGTAACAGGGCATTTTAAAGCATAACAGCTCAGTACAGAGTTCACAGTTTGATGCATTAAAAGAAAAATCAATAAACTTCATTAGGGTCAACATCTTCTGCATGCATTTCCGACCCATGAAAGTAGGCATCACCGTATCAGTCCCCAAAATCATTTTTTTCAAGGATAAAAGCAAGGAGTAGGGTGCGTACCGGAAACACTTTCAAGATATATACAAAGGAGCAACTCAAATGCAACTAGCAATGGTGTGGCAACAACAGCATGACATGGTGCTCACTGTACAACAGAGAAAATCTTAGTGGTGCAGATTCACAATTATAAATGACAAATTTTAGTCTTTTGTATTCAAACCACACAGGGTATCAGTGTAATGCAAATAATCTACCAACTGTAAAGAAACACAATGACATACATGACGACCGTGTGGAACAGAAGAAGCAGGTAATGAGAATCTTCCTCGGGCAACAACTGCATGAAATATCCAAAGTGGAAAGAAAATTATCCTGCAACGAAAACGCAAAACAACTCAGAAAAGAAACTATAGTGATTGATGCTAAGAAGATATATGCCTTCGGGTGGTGGTTCTAAAGTTCTAACTAATATATGCATATATATATATATGAAAGTCACCTTTCTGTATCAAACTTTTCACAACGAAATATCTTCAAAGAGGTGCTAATACAACTGTCATTTGGAAGACTGTTTCCTAATGTACGTTAATCAAGGAACAACTACTTCTATCAAAGGGTCTAACAATTATCGCATAACCGAATGAATCGAGATGCCAAAATCAACTTAAAAAGACGATTCTTTCGATGGAAACGCCAGAACCAATGCAGTATTGAGTTAGAAAGTTAACATCAGTATTAGCTCAAAGTCAAACACATAGGTAGCACCCATAAGACATCGATATCCAGAGAAAAATCAACACTAACGTTTATTACCTTTCACTGAAAACAAGCTAAAAAATCAAAAAAATCCACCAAATCAGCAAGAACAAACATGAACATCCCAATATATTGAGCACAGATTACATACATCAGATCAGATCAGAGGTTAAAGAACCTATTATAAAAAAAATAAATAAAAAAAAAAGAGGTTAAAGAATTCACCTGAACTGGCAACGGCGATGGAGTGTTGGTGATCACGACGGCGGTGATGTCGTCGGGAAAGAGTGAACAAGAATCGGGAAGATGGGTTGTGCACTGCAGGTGCCTAGGTCTAGGATGAGAGGTCGAGAGAGAGTAAAGACGGAGAGATCGAGGTCGAGGTGAGGTTGGACTTCAGAGACGGAGAGGTGATGTCGGACTTCAGAGACGGTGAGGTGATGTCGGACTTCAAGAAGAAAATCGAGGATGAGAGAGTCAGACAGAGACGGAAAGGTTGAGAGGTCGATCGAGAGAGAGCAGCAAACAACAAAGACTATTAGGGTAAACCTAAAACCAACGGTCATGATTGGAAGGTCTGTAAAAATTCAATCTGGGCCGTCCATTTCAATTACAAACGGGCCGGTTCGGGGCCCCGTTTTTCTATAACTCTGGAACCGGCCCGACCCTAGAATGACATAACCTAGGCCCGCCCCGCCCCGTTTTCCCCTATTTAAAAACAGGACCCGCCCCGTACCCGCCCCGACCCGCCTATACCCGCCCCTACCCGCGGGCCTAAGGCCCGTTTGCCCAACCCTACTTTATTCCCATCTCAAAAGGATTAAGCTTATACGACGCGTCCTCACTACTCTCAAACCTTTCAGGCTTGATACTTTTTTAATCAACCCCCATCGTAGGATCCCTGTGTATACTTACATTAATTAAATAGTGTCGCGTGGTAGAATGAATAAACAGATGGTGCAATCCTCGAATGAAAAATGCGGTATGAGCAATGGGCTAGGTGGATACTACCTGATTAGAGAGTTTCATATACAATGATTCGAAAATAAGGTAGTTTGGAACTGTTAATCTTATGATCTACCATTTATAAATAGAGATAAACAGCACTAAATTATACCACTAAGTAGTGAGTTTCAACCTTATTTATCATCAATAAGTGAGGTCTTGTTTGACCCCCAAAAAAGTGATGTCTTGACAAGCTTTTTATTTAACACATCATTGAACAAGAGTTGATGAGTAATTGGTGACTCTTGAAGAGAATACACATGTCTACAGTTCACATATTTTTACATATTTTTATGGTGTTTTAGAGTATTCATTACTAAGAGCATTTTAATGATGAGAATTTTGATCAAAAACATAAAAATTAAGATCTAAAAGTTAAAATACTTAAAATATATGGTACTTCGGAACACCATAAATGTTTTATGTGTTAATGTTCTAATTAGGGCGTAGCTAGAGTTTGTTTGAGTGGCCAAGTCAATTATAGCATTAAATGTAAATGAGTCAATATTCTAGTAGAAGCCAGAATTTAATGCAAACCTAATAGAGTAGAATAATAGCATTATAGGACCTAAGGTAGAAAAACATTTACGTAGGCCACATGCTTTGAATTATGATTCTTCAACACCTAAATAAGGCCAATATCCAGAGAGCAACTTTTTAAGACAAAGATCATGACCTTGGATAAAACAATAGCGTGTTATTTCATCTTTGCCAATGACTTTTTGGCAAGTCTATTTAACAACCCCACCCGCTTCTTTTGGTAAATTGAAACCAAAACACAGATGAAATCGGATAGTAAACCCCGACCGAATCGGTTCGAGACTAAGACTTCTTACTATTCGCACCAATAGTAACATTGAGCGGCCATTTTACCTCCTGCTATTGACCGGTGGTCCGTCTTTTACACTCCCGAACTAGCTCTTTGTTTCTCTCTCTCACTACGCGAGTCTCTCCCGCTTTCTTTGTCCCTTGGGGCCCGAGATCAAGCCCATTAAATATTTTGAACCATGTACAGTATAGTGATGGACACAAATAAATGATGAGGAGTACTTTGTATCAGTACTAGCGTCTTACAAATCGTATGAAAAAACAAAAGTGTTCGTACTTTCACATACGTCCTCAACCTGTCTTGAAACAACCAATGCATATTTTGGTCTCATCCCCTATCTCTTAAAGCTTGCTTACTCCACTTTCCCCTCATTACCGCTCACCTAAATGGAATCAACACACCGTATGATACATGAATGAGATCAAAATCCCCATACCAAACCCCTTATTGCTTACCCCGGTCCCTTTACTTAAGCCAAAATGGAGAGGTCAAAATTGTCCGAACCCTTGTTATTTTAGTTGGGGTTAAGTATGACGAGAGTAATATTCTACAAGGTTTTTACGGTTTTGAAAGGGTGTTGTGGTTTGAAACCGAACCGAGAGCTAAAATGACGGTTTGGTTTCAGTTCCTAATATTTGGTACTGAATTGAAACCAAACCTAACCGCATAATACAAAATATTATTTAATTTAGTTAGCAAATTAGGTGTTGGGGGTGTAATTGGTTATTTGGTGGAGTCCATACATGAATTTGGAGTGATTATTGGTTGCTGCGATTTGTTTTTTACTTTGGATTTTGAAACAAATCTAAAAGATATTTTCTTGAATTTTAGTACAATGGTTATCAACTTTGGTTTTACTTACTGTACACTATTTTTCTTTCCCATTTGGGGGCCAAAACAAACTAAAAATACTATATATATATATATATATATATATATATATATATATATATTTTTTTTTTTTTTTAAATTGAGAATCCCAAATCGAAGCAGGCCTATAAAGTATCTTAATTTTTAAGGGAGTTTTTATGAAATACTCCTGATACTATTCATTTTTAATGAAAAACCACATTTTTATCTTTTTCTAGTACTATTCACTACACATTTATTTGTCAATTTTTATTAAAACTAAAGTTTTTTTAGATTTTTCGTTAGTTTTTCTATTTTTTAATTGACCTATAAGTTAGGTCCAAATCGAAACCAAAACTTTTTGAAACTAAACCGAACCAAATTGAACGATTCGGTTTTACTTCAGTTCCCATTGTCAAGCCGAACCGAATCAAACTGTAATAAGTTTCAATTTTAATTTTAATTTTACCTCAAAACCGAACTACATCAAACCATACCTACCCCTAGCCTAACCTATTCCATGCTCAGCAACTCAGCTAATAAAATTACTACCCACGCATGCAGCCCATTGATTAGGAGGGATTTGGATCCTAACTGGATCTCCTTCCTAAGGATTCTAGGGATCAACAAACATGAATTGTTGATAAAAAATCGTGCGGTTCTAATTAAATATTTTTTATATTTTTAAAAGTAAAGTATTATCGTTTTACGTGAAAAATATAAAAAAGAAATAAATTGTGACAGCACGATTTTTGACCAACGATCTGTGTTCGTTGATCCTTAGAATCCTCAGGGAAGGGATCCAGCGAGGATTCAAATCCGATTAGGAGTGCGTCTTAACAGTGGCATTTATGGGGTAATCAACAGTTACACACTGCTCATTTCACCCCCGCATTATGTCATCACACTTAATACAAAAAATAAACCCATTACGTCCGTTATGCCATCAACCCCGCTAAGTTACCCGAATTTAAAACTTTTTCGATACAATTGATATTTTCATAAAAATATTTAAAAAAAAAAGAAATTTTTTTAAGTTTAAGCTGAAATCGACATATATTGTTAATATTTGTGACACATATGTTAACTATAAAAAAAATTTCTTATATTTTGTCCAAACTAATGTTTGACATCCAAAAGTTTCATTTTAAATTTTCATTATTTCCATCGAAAGTAAATGATATCGATATCGATATTTAAATATCCGTCGGTATTTCTACAAATTCGCATATTGATATGTTCATTGATACTGATACTTTAAACACTGAGTGTTACTTAGTACTGTTTAATTGTATTTCTCTTGATAAGTAAGACCTTGCAGTGGTCGAAAATTGAGTGTGATACAGTAATATAAAAATTAAACTCTTAAACCATAATCGCACTTACTTAAATCATTACGGTCTCCTAATATTTGTTTTAATTTATAAATAAAAAAATTATAAATTTAAATATCGTAAAAAGATAAGTTCAAATATTAATTTATTCTCCGACTGGTTAGTAGTATAAAAACAACTTAAATGCATTTAAGGTGGTAAACAACAGTTTTGGTAACATTTGGTTGCATGGACACCAGCTGTCCATCAAAATAGAACAACTAGCTTTTGGTTTCGGGATGCAGTTAAGAAGATTTGTCTTTGGTGATGAGCCGAACGTTAATACATGGCTAAGACAAGTCGAAACCACAGGACATGCAATTGTTTCAGTTTTATTGCGACTTTTGTCTTTTAAGTAACTGCGGATGCACAACACACGCTTGGCTTTCCAGAAATTTATCGAAGGATTTGGATGCTAGTTGTTTTGGATAAGATCAAAATTGGTCACTCGTTGGTTGAGCCTTTTAGTCATGTTATTTTTAGGTAGG